AAGAAAACGTATTCACTGAATACGAGTTTTTGATTTTTTTTCCACTTTTTTTTTTTTTTGTTTTTTTTCTGTCCACTTGTTCTTTTTTTGTTTTTTATATATAAATGGCGACTTTTATCCCAATGTCTAAGGGTGTGTTTGTAAAATAAATAATTTGAGTGAATTAACTCAAAGTGCGTTTTTTTGTAGTTAACTAAGATTAATTAACGAAAATGGTATAGTTAGTTGTTAGTGAGATTTTGAGTTTATATTAAAATAATAATGACATTTTCTGCGTTTTCCTTGAGTTCACTTAATTAATTGTTAAACTAGATAATTAATTTTAAATTTTAAATAATCATATAAATATACATAAAAATAACATAAATAAATTTTTACATAAAATATGTTAATAATATTGTACTTTATAATAAATATTATTCATAGTTTCTATTTTTAAATAAATATATTTTTAAAAAAACATATAGAAACGGGTTGCCACGGCTAGGTCGATATCCAGCTTAGTCTGGTCAAGGCCGGATTAATTGGATTTTGACCGGTCCGAAGTCATCATCCAGTTCGAAGCACCATTGTATATGTTTACCTACGAATTTTGAATCATCCAAATACCATTATAGATGTTTACCTATGAATTTTAAATCATCCAAATACCAAATAGGTGTTTACCTACTAATTTTACATCATGATCAATATTCCTATAAATACACAGGTATAAGTTCAAGATTTTGAGTCAAGCCCATACCTTAATAGCATTTCTTAACAATGGAAAACTTTTACTTATCCATAGCTCTCTTCTTCCTTCTTCCTTTTCTGGTTTTACCCTTTGAGGATAAAAAGGTTCTTAATTATTTCGAATTCATGCTTTATTGCAAATTCAGTCCAGCATTTACCATATTTAAATTCCATATTTGCAATTGTTATCCGAGCGTTTCCCAATTGTTACCTAAGTGGGAATTTTCAAATTCAATCAATGATTCCAAACGAAAATTTCAAGCATGTGTTCTCAACCATTTTCAATTGTTATCAAGTGTGTCTAATGTTCTAAACCAAGTTTCAATTGTCATTTTCCAGAATCTTAATTCCAAGTATTTCCAATTGTTCCAAGTGTATCAAGCATTCGCAAGCCCAATGTATGACATGTCACCAAAATAATCATATCAAGCCAGAACTCTAAGATTTTTTTTTTTTTTTTTTTTTTTTTTTCNTTTTTTTTTTTTTTTTTTTTTTATTTATGTGTATTGCTATGATTAATTAAAATGTATTTATTTGACTAAAAATAGCAAACAACATTTACGCAAATGATATCACTGTATAATAATAAAAATAGTATCAAATACAAAATTAATTTTTATTTGTACCAATGCACACAGATACAGTTTGCATAACATAAATATTTGTAACAATTTTAACAGGTACACATTGTACTCTTGGGAGATGATGGTATTAACAAAACATCCCAAGAGATTGAAAAATATCACCATTCATACCTATTATCTGTCAAGGAAAACGCAGAAGATGCATCATCTTCTCTTCTCTACAGTTACAAGAAAATCAATGGCTTCGCGGCGGTTCTCACGTCCCCTGAAGCTCTCAAACTTTCGGGTGAGCAACAAAATTTATGAACAAAGGGTTTTGCGTGCTTTCGTTAATCAATGGTTAATTGCATTTTCTGCAGAAATGGAGGATGTGAAGTCTGTGTTCCGGAGCAATGTAAGCAGATACAAGCTGCACACAACGCGATCATGGGGATTTTCCGGTTTAAACGAGCCAACAGGAGGAGGATCCGACAAGGGAAACTTATGGTTGGAATCGAACTATGGCAGTGATGTCGTTATTGCGGTTATAGACACAGGTAGTACATTTCTCCATGGAGCTATAAATCGAGTTTCATTTTGTAAAGTTTCAAACTCCATTGTTAAAACAACATGAAAATCACATGTTCCCCTATCGATTAATCTATCGGTTGTTTGGTACTATACTAATACGTTAGGCTCTAAATACCCGTAATGGGTTGGCTTAATACATGAACTACTCGCATCTACTCTTTGTTGTGATCCCTATTTGGGCGAAAGACACTCTCGACATCTACTTTAGAGCCTTATTGCATCACCCGACATAAAAAGGCATTATTGAGTTTGCTTATGTTATTTTAATGCAACATTGCATCTTTTGCACATTTGTAATGTAACATCCACATTTGTCGTGAAATGTTTGTTTTTTGGTCGGAAATTTGTTGCTTAACAAGGCGTGTGGCCGGAGTCTCAAAGCTTCAACGACAACGGGATGGGTCCCATACCGAAGTCTTGGAAAGGAAAATGTCAACGAGGCCATGCATTCAACTGCTCAAATTGCAATAGGTATATATATATATATATATAACATCCACATTTGTGGTGAAATGTTTGTTTTTTATTTGTTTTTTTGGGTCCAGAAAGATTGTGGGTGCCCGGTACTACCTCAAGGGTTTTGAAAAAGAGATCGGCCGGTTGAACACGACGTTAAATATCCGCTCGGCCCGCGACACGATCGGGCACGGGAGCCATACATCCTCCACGGCCCTAGGCCGAAAAGTCGACAATGTGTCGGCGCCCGGGGGTTTTGCTGCAGGCGCCGCCACTGGAGGCGCTCCCCTAGCCCGCCTGGCCGTCTACAAGGTGGTATGGAATATCGATGAGGACATCCAAGGAATATCGGACGCGGACATCCTCGCCGCATTCGACGACGCTATAGCAGATGGGGCCAACGTCGTGAGCATCTCGATCGGGTTCGAGAAGGCCACTCCGTACGATGAAGACGTCATAGCAATCGGCAGCCTCAACGCGGCGAAGGCGAACGTCGTGGTCTCCTTCTGTGCCGGGAACAGTGGGCCCGAACCGGCTACCGTCCTCAACGTGAGCCCGTGGGCCATCACGGTCGGGGCAAGCACCATCGACAGGATATATTCATCGCCCGTCGTCTTAGCAAACAAGGCCATTATCCCGGTAAGTTTAACCAACGTTAGATCTTATGCTAGGCTGCCAAATGGTCAGGCAGTCTGTATTATTGCAAAAGCATATGCATATAACTCACAATCAAATGGCATGCCTTAAAATACACAATGTGTAGACAAAAGTAGTATAACTCTCACCGACGCGTCATTTGTATTTAATTAATATCTATCTATAGCAATTGGAAATATATATATATATATTATGTTGTAGTGATTAACTATGATTTGGTTTATTTTGTGTTACACAGGGTCAGTCAGTAACTTTATTGAAGTTGAAAAATAAGTTGTATCCATTAGTTTCTGCGGATCAAGTGAGCAAAAGTGGCGTACCCAAGAACGAGTCCGGGTTAAGTCTCTTTCCCTACTCCAATTAACAATGTCTTTATTAATTGTTTTGTCGATTTCAATTTCGATAACCAAGTATATATACCACATTTTCGTTTACCTTACGTTTCAATCGATCAGTGGTTTGTATCAAACGTGATTAGCAGATAAAACTACTTGAAAGACAATAAAGAATTGATTAAGTTGAAACTTAGAGTGTCTGTCTCAACAACAAAAGAAAATTGTTTGCAATATACTTTTGACAGGCAATGTGGAGAGGGTTCACTTTCTCCTGAAAAAACCAAGGGAAAAATCGTATTCTGTTCGGGAGGTGGACAAGATGAGGAATGGATAAAAGGCATCAGGGTGGCAATAGCCGGAGGGATCGGTGCCATTTTCGGAAATAGTAAAGCCGACGGGGACCAATTTATAAACAACGTCTATACCCATGTTCTTCCGGCCACTTCAGTCAGTTATAGCAGCGCCCTCAAAATTATGGAATACATCAAATCCACCAAGAATGCAAAGGCGAAAATCGTGCCGGCTACAACAATCCTCGGCGCTAAACCAGCACCTATAGTGGCTCCATTCTCCAGCAGTGGTCCAAGTGCAATATCACCTCATATTCTAAAGGTATTCATATATATATAAGTTATATTTTAAAAGATGGCCAGTAAGCTAATACTGTTTAACTAAGTTATGAGGTAATAGACCCGAACACAAAAAGTTAACCCGATAGACTCAAGGTTCTCAACAGACGAACGCAAAAGCTAATACAGTCGACTAAAGGTACCCATTTGTTTTTTGTTTTTGTTTTTTTGGGTGCAAATACACAGCCAGACATTGTGGCTCCTGGGTTGAACATATTAGCAGCCTGGACCGAAGCATCTCCGCCTAGCGAATATGATTTGCCCGGGAACAACGGGAATCTCGTCAAGTATTATCTGAACTCAGGCACATCAATGTCGGCCCCACACGTAGCCGGCGCATTAGCACTACTCAAGGCCGTGCACCCCACATGGAGTAGCGCCGCCCTTCGATCCGCCCTCATGACCACCGGTAAACGGAGCTTTTAGCTTCTTTTTTTTTTTTTTTAATTCTT